CGCCCCCTACAAGATTGGAGCCAGTGCCAGCTTCCTGCGGGGGTTAGGGGTGGGGATGGGAAGCCCCGAGGCTCCGCGCTACATCCATCTTCCAGGGAAGTGCCATGTGCTGCTCCTTCCCTCCTCACACACCCCCCCCTCCCCCTCCAACTTCGGAGCCAGTGCCAGCTTCCTGCAGGGGGCAGGGGTGGGGATGGGAAGCCCCGAGGCTCCGTGCTGCATCCAGCTTCCAGGGAAGTGCCATGTGCTGCTCCTTCCCTCCTCACAAGGCAAGAGCCCAAGCGGGGCGAGCAGTGGAGAAAGCCCCTCTCCCGCTCCCTAGAGCAGTGCAGCCCAGAGCAGGAGGGTTAAATCTCGGCACAGCACTCCGGAAAGCTTGCTGACCCCTGCTGAAGAGGTTCCTCTTTATCCAAAAGGTTCCCTAGTTCCTCATAAACTTGAATCTCTCCTTCCTGCGCCAGTGTCTCATCCCTGCACGGAGACCCTGCAGATCTGCCCAACTGGCCCTGGGTGTGGAATTGGAAGGATTCCAGAGAACGCTACCATGGAGGTCCTAGCGCCGGTGTGGGCAGATATCTGGTTTGGCAGGGTTAACCCCTAGTTGCCTTACCATTGTATTTACCTCGGCAGGCATGGGTGATGGCAGCTCCTGTTGGCTGCATATCACTGTTCCTGGCCAATGGGAACAATGGGAAGTGGTGTCCTGTTCCATGCTACTTGCTACAGCTCCCATTAGTCAGGAACGGCAATCCGTGGCCAATGGGAGCTGTGATCACTGGTATCTTCAGGTAAATATAATGACGGCAGCCCGCCGGGGCTAATCCCAGTGAGAAGCTGCCATTTTATTGTCCACCCCTGTCCTAGATTCTCACCTAGCAGTCTCAATTGGACCTCTCACTTAGGTTACTGGTACCATATGTACCACAGTTTAGAAAAACTTTATGAAAAGGGGAAAACACTAAAAAGCTTCAGGTAAATATAATGACGGCAGCCTGCCGGGGCTAATCCCAGTGAGAAGCTGCCATTTTATTGTCCACCCCTGTCCTAGATTCTCACCTAGCAGTCTCAATTGGACCTCTCACTTATGTGACTGGTACCATATGTACCACAATTTAGAAAAACTTTATAAAAAGGGGAAAACACTAAAAAAAAGACCAGATGGGGGTTGATAATGTGAAATCACAAATCGGGGGGAGGCAAAGAAAAGGTTTATTCTAGCTGCTTATGGACATGGGGGTTCTTGCAGTGCACCCAACACATTGCTCAGCAGATCCCTGTCAGGGGAATAGGAAATAGAATTGAGATCCAAACTGTACACACCTGATTATAAAGCAATAGAAGTAAGATGAGGGACTCCTTTGAATATGATTGACCATGGGACACAACGTCTGAGAAATGCTCTTGGGCTTTTGCCTGTTCCCTGTGTAACACCATAGCAGAGGACAAAAGTGAACAGGAAATGAAAGTGAAAGTGTTCCAGCTGCTGCTTGATGGTGCTAGATACAGAAGAAGCATTTGTGTCTTGCCATTTATAACATGCCTGAGATGAGATCTGTGAAAAAGCCAGCAACAGCACACAGAGAAAACCCACAGAAAGGTCAAAGAGAGGTTGAGACAGTTATGAAACAAACATAGAGAGCAGGAGCCAGCCAGAAATTATGCAACATGTGGCCAGATAATAACTTATGAAAACAACTGAAATATTGTGGTGCTGTATTTAGTGTCTTAAATCCTTTATTTTCTCTCTTTCTAATTGTATGAATTCCTTCCTTTCTGACATTTTCTTAATGGGTACTCGCTTGTTTTCTTTTTTCCCCTTGAATTCTGCATGTGCAAAACAGACATCAACACAAATGTTTCCCTAAAATATATAATTAGGCTAAGTATTACGATTTAAATCCAACACCTCGTAATTATATATTTTTTGCCTAAATTCAGTCATTTATTTTTACTTAGAGATCACTGTAATTTTGGATTTTTGTGTATTAAAATTAATTTAGCAATTACCGGACACAAACACTATACTTCTGTTTTCCAAAGGGCATTGATCTAAGCATTATAAAATGCACATTGGAAAACATAATCTCAGCTACACATACAAAATGGTGGGGTCTAAATTACCATTCAAGAAAAAGATCTTGGAGTCACTGTGAATAGTTCTCTGAAAACATCTATTCAATGTGCAATGCGCAATCAAAAAAGCTAAACAATGTTAGGAACCATTAGAAAAGGGATAGATATTAAGATCCTGTTTACAGTTCTAGTTGCCCCATCTCAAAAAAGATACATTAAAATTGGAAAATGTGCAAAGAAAGGCAATGAACGTGATCAGGACTATGGAACAGTTTCCTAGTAGGAAACATGAAGGAGATGTGGCCGTTTGTCTTAGAAAAGAGGCAACTGAGGGCAGATTGTGACACACCCAGGATCTGGACAGTTGAACAGCCGTGTCCTCTCAGCTCTCTAATCTGGGGGCCTGTTACACTGCCCACATTTGATTGCTGCCAACAGCCGCTCTTGAATTACACTGCAGAGGGACACCAGGCTTTCCCCTGAGAGAAGATTCTTGTGCTGCCAAGCTCTCTCCCGGACAAGACAAGCTCCGATGAATTCCAGCATTTATTAATAGAAAATGGCAAGCACAGAATCCTGGTACCCCAAATGGCATTTCCCCCAAACATTCAAAGGAACTCATTTAGATAAAACAATAAAACAAGTATATTAACTACAAAAGGATGAACTCAAACAAGTACAAATAATAAGACATATAAATCAGAATTGGTTACAAAAAAATAAAAGTAAAATGCAGCTAACAGCCAACTTATCACAAGCTGAGTGAAGTCAAAACAAGACCTCTCTTACCGCGGGGTTCAATATTCCCACGGGCTGAGCCTCTCGCAGCCAGGATCCCGCTCCAATCCAGTGCTGCCTCCTATGTTCTCCAGGTGTTGTGGGTGACATTGGCAGAGAGAAGAGGAGAAATTATTTGGGGCATCTGCCCTTCCCTTCTTATTGTCCTTTTCCTTCTTTGAGAAGCATCTCATGGGAGGTCCAGGGGAAAAAAAGTCTGTGGGGGCCTGTTTCTTTGTAAGATATAGATTTTTGTGCCAGGTTCCCAGACTTCAACTGTCCTATGAATACCCTACAAAGGAATCCAATGTTGCAAGACATATTTTTGGAGTATTGTGTCCAATTCTGGACCTCCCATTACAGAAAGGATGTGGGTATATTGGAGAGGGTCCAGCAGAGAGCAACAAAAATTATTAGGGGGCTGGAGCACATGACCTACGAGGAAATACTGTGGGATTTGGTCTTATTTAGTCTGCAAAAGAGAAGAATGAGGGGGGATTTGACAGCAACCAACCTGAAGGGAGGTTCCAAAGAGGATTGGGAGAGGCTGCTCTCAGTAGTGATGGATGACAGAACGAGGAGCAATGGTCTCAAGGTGCGGTGGGGGAGGTACAGATTGGATATTAGGAAAAACGGTTTCCATAGGTGGGTGGGGAAGCGCTGGAATGGATTCTTTAGGGAGATGGTGGAATCTCCATCCCTATAGGTTGTTAAGTCTTGGCTTGACAAAGCCCAAGCTGGGATGATTTAGTTGGGGTTGGTCCTGCTTTGGGCTGGGAGTCGGACTTGATGACCTCCTGAAGTCTCTTCCACCCCTAGGATTCTATTATTTTTTCAGGAGAATATTCTTCAGCGAGTTATGAGTTTTCAAATTTGACATAAATTATTACAACAACCTGAAAGGGGTGACTGGAGGGGTACAGAGCACAATTGGAGAATGACAGAAGTCTATAGAATCTTGAATGGTGCACAGAAAGCAAACAGGGAAGTGTTAACTTTTCATAAAACAAGAATACGCAGTCACCCAATGAAATGAATTGGCAGCAGGCTTAAAACAAACAAAAGGAAGCTCTTCTTCACGCAATACGCAGTCAACCTGTAAAACTCTTTGCCGGGGATGTTGTCAAGGACAAAATTACAGTTGGGTTCAAGAAAGTCTTAGATAAGATCTTGAAGGACAGCTCCATCAATGGCTACTAGCTTAGATTGTCATGGACATCCCATGTTCCAGGTGTCCCTAAGCCTCTGACTGCCAGAAGCTGGGACTGGACCAGGGTCTGGCAAAATATGGCCCGTGGGCTGGATCCCTGCCTGTCCCAGCCCCACACACTAATCAGAAAAGCTGACTGCAGGCTGGGTTTGTCTGAACAGCTGCAAGCCTGGGGAAGGGGTGGAAGAGGCTTTGCACACTGCCCCATCCCAAAAACAAT